AAAAACCTCACAGCCTTTATCCATTTAGAAAGAGTATATACGTCTTCTTTCTCGCGTTTATCCCATTGCCTAGCATAATCCTAAACTGAATCGATCAGTATTTTGAAGCTGTATTTCCAATTGATAGATTTAGTCTCACGATATTTCGGACATTTTGATAACACATTTTGCAGTGAATTGTTTCAGACAAAATATATCATATCTTCATCACAATAAAGCCAACATTTTACGCTAGTTCTTAAATTATAACTTTAAAAGTATCAGAGAAATGCAAAAACAAGCAGCATTCACAATAGAGAACATGACTTTGACCTTTGACCTTGTCCTAGTTTTATAAGTTAGGACACTTGGACCTCAAATGCAATGACTTTAGACTTATACGGCTTACGGTTTATGAGTTACAAAAACGTAACGACAAATTTATTTGGTTAAGGTTGATAACTCCTTCAAGATTTCACCGGATCGCTTCGATCTAAATCAGCCAACGATGTAACGAACAATTTAGAAAAATAAGTTTGTCGATATATTTTTTTGTTACAAAGAAGATGCACACACATGATAAACAGTAAATTGGGAGATCACTCTTAGCAAGAAAATTGTTCTGCTTAGAAGAGTGAAATTTAAAAGTGCATCAACTAAAAAAGATATAAAAAAATCTTAACGACATGTTGCGAAACAAAAATTTAACGCAGGAACAAAATTTGGCGCAAGAAACAAAAAAATAATATAAAACAAATTGTTCAGAGAACAATTGAAAGTCTTTCCACCTCAAACGATATATTTTGATAAGAAAATACTGAAATCCAGTTTAAAAATGTCATTTCCAGTGCCAAATGACAGCTGTATTCTCATTAAAAAAAAACAAAACATGGTGTTATATTCCTTAATCTAAAATATGGCAGATCATATGCTACTTTCGGTTAAGAGAATTTCATTTACGGTTCGATAAGATAGGTTTCGTTCTACTGATTTCGAAAATGTATAGTTTCTTTATACTTTCCTTCAAATAAGGGAGATTATTAGCATCTTCCGGTTTACAGAATTCGAATATCGGTTTCAGTTAAAGGTTATTGAATGGTGAATTTTAAAGTATATAGTTTATAAGTATTTTTTTACTTCAATAAGTGCAAACATAGCAACTTCTTGTATGCCACTTCCGGTTGCTACTTTTCAGGGTCATGTGTCACCCATCCCTTGGTAAAAGACAGTATGGTTTTATCATGTACCAGAATGAAGTTATATTTGATTTACATTAAATTTTGAACATTTAAGGGACAATAACTCCTTTAAGATATCATCAGATAGCTTTGGACCAATTACACCATTTCTTCAAATAATCAAAACATTTGCATCAATTCTTATATATCTAGCTTTTATAGTTTGAGAGAAGATGCACACACTATGAAAAGGGAAATTTTAGAATGTGACATTGACTATATCTTGTTTAATTTTATCAATTTTACCTTTCATCTTTTAAAAATATCCGTATAACATACAACAGCTTTCATTGCGCGTGATATTCGTGTCAAGATTACAATAATGCATTTTAAACAAATGAAACGTTTGATATAACTTTTAAGTCTTTTGTTGTAGCATAAAAATGCCATTGAATTTTTCTTTTACAACTTCATACACAATATACATTGGTCAACGCTTTTACACCTCTATAAAATAATAAAAAGAAGCATTTAATTCTTAAATACATTTTTTACTGTCGTATGGTATTCTATCCTTCGTTTGAAATTTGACCTCCTTCTTTTAATGCAAATATTCTTGGTTATGATCATCAAATGTCTTATGTATTTCTTATTCAATAGCTAGGGGTCTAAAATTAAAAAAAAAAGGAAACATAGAATAATTCCGTACTGCCAACAAGAGGACACATCCATGATAAAGTCTACATATATCATGTGTAAGAAGAAGTGTCATGCAAGTGAGAGGTTTGGCTAGCTATAAAACCCCTATTTTCTACATAAGGAAATGCCTGTACCAGGTCAGGAATATGACAGTTGTTTTCAATTTGTTTGATGCGTTTGAGCCTTTTATTTTGCCATTTGATAAAGGAATTTTTGTTTTGAATTTTCCTTTGAGTTCTGTATTTTTTATAATTTAGTTTTTACAATCATTATTCTAAAACTGTTTTGATTTTATAATGTAGACCCGTACAGTAGTGTTAGTCATATGACATTTCACAAATTCCGTATTATATCGAAATGCTGTTCCTGGTCAGGAATATGACACGTTGTTTTCCATTTGATTTTTTGTGTATGGGCTTTTGATTTTCCCATTTGTTAGAGGACGTTCCGTTTTCAATTTTCCTTGGAGTTCGGTATGTTCTGCTATCAATCTTAAACATTCATTTTTAATATTTTTTTAGTATTCCAGCTACCAGTTGGAACATAATACGTAAAGATATTCTGATATCATGAGGGGGGTACTCACTCCAGATGCCCAACCTCCATCTTCTAGGAAGAGTATTGTAGAGTTTTTTCCTACATATGTTGTGCATTCACGATACATGCAGCAATGTTAATTAATGCTAAAAATCATACATTTCCATTATATTGGAAATTGATACATTTGGAAGGGTGAAGTACCCTTTCTACCACAAGGAGTGAATCAAAATAGCTTCGATAGTAAAAACGTTTCTAAAATACTTAAAATTGTCATTACACTGTGTTACTGATTGTAACATAAAGAACGTATATATAATCATGATGACACTTTAAAGATGAGCTTTACGACCCTGAAAAATACAAAAAGCAGCATTCAAAACTTATAATTACATTTTTTGCTATGGTCATAAAAACACGATTTCTATCAAGTTTTTCTATAAGGATAAAATCCGGTAAGGGCTACTTTTAACATTGTTGGCATGTTTAAACACTTAAGTGTCTACTTCAGCCGATTCAATAAGTTTTTGTAAAAGATTTAAACTGATGTAGTCATTAAAGTTGCTCAAATACAAGCTTTAATATAAAAAAAAAAATATGCCATAAAACGTCACTTTTCAGGTGTTGTTTATATAAAATGAAAGTGGCTGTATTCGTGTCTAGTCTCAACCTTTATATATGTTATGTATTATCATCAAATACAACATATATTTAAATATTAAGACTGAACCCAAATGCGGCCACTCAAAATTAGCACACGCTACAATGGTGAAGATTTCATTAAATTTGAATGAAATGTTATTACCTGATGTATGTGCATTGTATTGTCAAAAATTGCCAATATTTACGAAACAGACGTAATGAACTTTCTAATAAAGAGAATAAAGTTTACTTTAAATGTGTTAAAATGCTTTTTTTGTCGGTCAAAAAGAGGTCTTACTGGGCCTACTCCTTTTCCTGAGGCACTTCATTGTGGACGCTCGTGTCATCACGAAAGTTGCATTTGATTTTGATCTAAAGGCTAATTTCAAAATGACGCGTGATTGTTATAGGCAAATCATTACAAAATATTATAATGAAACATAAATGTAATGAAAGGAAAAAAGGGTTTATGAACTAAATTAATCTTCTTTCTATTTTTGTTATTTTCTTTTTTAGACAATTATGATTTTCATTGTTCATCTTTTGTTCCTGTCTAAGTTGCATGACTGAAAAACAATATATATAACATGTAATTGATGGTTTGTAAGATATGATAAATCTAATTAAATTATACTATTTTATACCTATGACTATCAAGATATAATTTCAAAAGCGAGTAATTGTTACTTAATGTTAAAATAAGGAACAATTTGACCTTCATCTCATTTGAAAAAAAATAATGTCAAATTATATAACAGCTTTACCATTTATAACGTTTTGAATTGTCCATCTTGATATGTTTATACTGTGAATTCTCGATTTATATTTTTTAAATATTCCTTCAGTATCTTCCGCCTTTTTGTTTACAATGACATAAATTGCAATTACATCATTTGGAAGTGAATTATGTTCTGTGTCTATGAAAACAGCTCACAACTCAAACAAAACATTCAGAACCATTCAACTATTCAGAAACTTAATTATGAATATTGTGTTTCAAAGAACTATGTTTTAACGAATATATAAAAATCCATACCACTTGAATAAACAATTATAGTTTATGGACTGGAAATAATCATTGTATATCAGATTGTAATGTCTGTCAATTCTTTTGAATATAGAATTAGACCGTGTTCACACCAAACGCCATGTGCAGTAAACATGTTAACAATAGTTTAATGTAATGTACACTGGTTTCACATTAAATTTGTTCACATCCATACACCTGGTTTAATTACCTGTACATTAGATTTAATCACACTTGTAAACTATATGTCATTTAAATGTTCATTACATACAATCGAATTCAAATTTCTCGGACAACTTTTCTAGCAGTTAAGGAACGACAATTTGACTTATAAAAAGGAGATGTATGGTTTTTTCCTTAAAAATATTATGATCCCCAATTTGATGACAAAAGAAAATATCCTGTATCTAGATTTTCCCCATACCTTTTATGCTTATTGTGTTAAATATTGAAAAAAATAACTGATTGATTACGTCGAATAAAAAGAATGAAAACATTCGCGCGAAAAAAGAATTTGCGTTGTCAGTTAGTTTTCGATCTATCAGTATGAATGTTTCTCTGGTATATTTCGCCCCTCGAGCTCCTTTGTATCATATCATCGTCGATGAATGTGTGTTTGAAATCTACAAACCCCATTTCTGTATTTTAAAAAATGTTAGAGGACATAATGTATTGTATTTATTAGTTGCGCAATGGGAATTGTATTTCAAGCGAAGATAAGTAAAAAATGTTGATATTTCTGTTTAAGGTAGATCGGTTGTTTAAATTTTCGCGCCTTCTGCGCAACATGTTGCGCATAGTGTTGTAAACTGTCGTAAAATTTTATCAAAGTAATATTGTAACTTTTTTTTTTTTTATATCTGTGAAAATTATCAGAAACGCTTTTAAAATCATATTTTATAAACTCAATTATCAAACAAATAATCTCATTTCAGCTTGATTGCTGCAAATTGTTTACTTCCGTCATGGCGACCTGCACAACATGATGAAGAATGGAAAAAAAATGAAAAAGAAACTGTGATCGTGATAAAGTGGACTGCTTTTTATAAATACTGTGATGTAGATCTGTAAATTAACAATATGATCTTCGTCCTGGTAGCTTATGAAGCAATTCCACACAGATTCTGCACAAAAAGTAGACGACAGAAAAAATGGGAGGTAAACAAGTATATTTTTTTTGTGTTGCTGCTTGCCGTAAGTACAATTTATATCGTATCGTCTGCAGTAATCTTACAAATGATGGCCGAAAGATCTCAATCAGGAAGATTCAAAAAAGCAAACACGTTCTATAGGGCAAATAATTTTATTAACACCAACGTCAAAGACTCACTTTCAGACCCCCCTTCTTCTTATCATAATGAAGATGCAGATTCTGAGATGCCTTCTGTACATGTAGAGGTTCATGTCAATCTTGACCACACATATACCTTACCGCTGGTACTAGACAATGACCCTTTGGCAATTTCTTCTGAGATTGAAGTCCGCACTGAAGACAGTAAGGTAGAAAACATTGAAAATGAACTATTATTTGATTACATCCCATCAGATCTTGTTCCATTAAGCCATTGCCGATTCATAGTCGATTTGGGTTTTATGGCCGAGCAGTTAAAACACTGTCAGTCTTGTCAGTCAACTCTTCATCTCTACAATGCATTAGGAGTTAAACCTTTAGGATTTTCAGGCTTGATGTATGTCCAATGTCCTGAATGTGGTGGTGTGACAAAAATCAAGTTGGGGAAAACTCATCATAGTGGAAATAGTAAAAGAGGATGTGGAACTTTTGACATTAATACAAAAGCTGCAACAGGTGCACTTTTTATGTAGTTGTATTTACGAATAAAAACATTTGTAGAATTTTTTCAGTCTCAAAATATATATATAATACATGTACATGTACATGCAGAGATCTGCAATAGATGTACATTGTTGAAAAGTATAGGTAAACTATTTGTATTTGGGCAAAACGGATTGAAATGTTTCTAAGCCTCATACAAATGTTACCAATATTTTTTCAACACAGATGTATAGTAAATCAGTTATTCTACATGTACAGTGAAATTTTGATTTTAAAAATGTGCTCATGGATGTTTAAGGGTAGGAAGTGACTTTAAAAATATTTCTCAATCAGCAAACTTTTTTCAAATACATTGTTGTAACTTAATCATGTTAATATACATCCTACCAATGTTTTATTATTAGAAATGTGAATGCATTTTTGTGTAATTCAGTCCTCCCTTCCTTCCCTCTCACATCCAGTTTAATTCACAAATAAGTAATATCCTTTGAATAAAGTCATGACATAAAGTATTGACTAGTTTTATATTTATTCATGTCAGATAACAATGGATTATAATTGAAAATTAATATTCACTTAAAGTAGTAAATACATTTTTTAAATGCATGTCTTGCATGTTGCCTATGATACCAAATAAATTTCTAGATTTCTAAACATACACATGTATATTTTGAGTTTAATCTTTGTTAAATAAAATAGTGAGTCACAAATTGGTTTATTATGTTATGTATATACATGTAGTTGCAATCATTTACAAATCTATGAATTCTGTTGATTACATTTTAATTTTATAGGAATGCTCCATGCTGGTATTGGGGAAACCCAGCTTAACAATCCGCTTTCAACAATGAATGTACACTGTATAGACACTAAATCTTTGAAAGCCAGAGAACATGAAGTTGGCCAAGTATTGGAGAATCATGCAAAAGAATCTGAGCATAAATACTTACTAGAAGAAGCAATTGGGTGTTTAAATATTAACACAGGTTTGAAAAAAAACAAATTAGTATAATCATAATAATCATTTATTGGTCTTACAGTCTGTTTTATTGTTTGTCTGACCAAAAAAGAAATTTGAAATTTTCTACTATATGTTCACCTAAAAACTCAAAATATTTCTGTCTGACATTTTGTCGGTCAGACAGAGTTTGGGTTTGTAACAACAAACATGCAAGGAACTATTTCTTCTGTTTAGCACCAAAACCAACAAAAAAATGTATGGAACAAATTCCTATAATATATTGACCTATATCACATATGTAGTATTCCCATTTTGCACTAGTGCAATATAGCTTAAAAATTAATTGCATCTATTATCAACAACAAAAACAAAAATAACTTTTATTTTATAAAGCTTGCGATGAAAAATTTTGTGCAAAATGAGATTCTTCTTTGGACAATATTCCGCAATAATCCTGCAAAACCACTATAATACATGTACCATTGATCTCTTTTGTAAAATTTCATAATTTAGTCCTTGTTTATTTTCCAGTTATGTACATAAGTGGTTATCATATGATTAACCACATCAAAATTTATAAGGAAATTCTGTTCACTCTAAGTACCGTGATAAGTTAAAGGGGACATAATTCGGTATATGTTCAAATGTACAGATTGCACACAAGAACACAGTTTTAATAATACACCGAAGAATTAGTTTGAGATCAGTATACCTACCCTCATTAAAAATTTGTGAAACATTACCATTAATACATATTTCAAGCATTAACATATTGATACAAATGTACAGGATAATTTTCAAATACAGTTATTAGTCAAATTACAGGTACACAGATGCAATCTTTACTGTCATGGTAACAATTTGAATATATAAACATGATAGATGAAAGCTTTATTTTTATACAATAGAAAATGAAGAAGGAAAAGGAATCACAGTATCAACAGACACCTGCTGGCAAAAGAAGGGTTCTGGAAGGGCATATAACAGTTTGTCAGGCATGACTTTAACTGAGTTTAATCCATCAAGAACAAAGTTCAACAAATAATCAGATATTTTATTTTATTTTATTTTAAAAACTACTTTTCCGTTAAGGTAGTTCAGGGGTATAGAATAAAAATGACAGAATTTTCTTATACTTTGCCAAAATGAAGCTTTTACTATCCTTTTTACAAAAAATTGATAAAAAGTATGGGTCACCAGACTCACCACACTATTTTTCAAGGTACTAGTTGTTCAAAATTGACAATATTTGCTTAGATTGTTTGTGAAAAAATACATTTTTGTGCATACAAAGAAATCTATGAGACAGAATTTTGAAATGAAATATGAGAAGATAGGTTTTATAATATATTTTAAGAAAATAAAAAGAAAAAATGGTGTCACCGAACTTGTTTTTTTGCTACAAGTAAAAAATGAAAATGAAAATTTCCCTATATGTCCAGTATAAATTTTGTACAAAAAAAATTATTTTCCCTTAAATGGCTTATTTGAAAAATTAGTTCTATAAGCACAGCACATATATTTGGTATTTGTTAAAACATTTTTGATAATGTCAATAAATGGCAAATCTGTCTCCAAATTTGCAGATTTGGGCAAAGAACTAGACCGATTATTTACTGTGATTGTACAATTCAAGATGGCGGTATACTCCTGAACTTCCTTAAGCTAGAAATATTAGGTCACAGGGTCCTATTTATTTTTTAATTTCACATACATACATCCTTAACATTACCATTCTTAACTGTCATACAAAGGTCTCTTTTAGATCTGATAATTTCTCTGCAAATATGTTTGTTAAACTGAATTTTCATGAAACCTTTATATGATAGAGGAGTTTGAAGATAAATTTTGGTTCTTAAATCCTTATAATTTATAATAATGACACTTGTTTCAATGCAAAGCATATTATGTAGATATGCACAAAGACAAAACATTTTTATTCAGGTTATTGCCAGGGAAGATAATGTTGTGAAATTTTTGAAAGGGGAGATAATTCAACTTAAAGGTTTTAACTGATTTTGAAGAAAAATATAAAGCTTGGACAATAAAAGACAGAATAGACCAGAAGGAGGGTGTATACCTCTGTGAGCTTGTAATTATAGTTTGATCTAATGCAGATATTGCTCATCTCTAACAATATTACAATATGGGACATTCATGTCCTTTAAACTCAAAATTTTATTTAAGCTAGTTTAAATTGAAATAAATAATTTCAGGTGTATCAACATTGATTGGTAAAAATACAGGAGGAGTTGTCCATCATGCAATAAGATGTCAGCAATGCAGAATCTGTGACAGTGCAACAAAAAGGGGGATTCAGCCCAAAGAGCACAAATGTAAGAAAAATTGGACAGGCTCAGCAAAGGCTATGGAGCCAGATATGCTAGTTCAGATGGTAATGGATGTGAAGAACAAAGGGATCAACATAGATGAAATTGCAGGTGACGATGATACGACCGGATTCGACAGGCTGAAAAAGATATATCCTGAATCAAAGATGATTAAAACCAGTGACAGAAATCATGTAAAAAAGAATGTCATTAAAAAGTTATATGCAATTAAAAGCCAACATAAGCAGCTCTCTGACATGGTTATGAATTCTATATTGAAGAATTTTTCATTCATGATAGATCAAAACAAAGGAGATGTTGAAGGAATGGAAAATGGCCTAAAAGCTATAGTAGAGCACATGTATGGGTACCACGCCCATTGTAATAGATCATGGTGTGGATTTCTTAAAGACGGAGAAAAATATAAGCACAGTAATTTACCTCATGGAAAAGACTTGACATCTGATTCATTACGGACAGACCTAGAGAAGATATTTTTGGGGAATGACTCAGTCAATCCAAGGAAACTTGCATCATTGTCAAGCTCACAAGCAAATGAAAACTTTAACAACATGCTTGCTGCAAAAGCTCCAAAAGCGAAGCACTACTCCTCATCAGCAAGCTTGGGCTACAGGGTAGATTCTTCTATCTTGCAAAAGAATGAAGGATATGCCTATGTTAGTGAGGTATAACTATATGCACCCTTCATTAGCTCTTTAAAAAATTTAAAAGATAGATGATCAATGTAAAATACAGTTATTTTTAGCAGTTTTTGGCTTTTCATCTCAAACTACTGTAATTTAGAAATTATTGGGTGCATTTATTATTGTGATTTTTGAGAAATAAACAATAATGCAAGATTAATAACTGAGATTTATTGCAGTGACTCAGGATTTCCAGGTGACCAATTAATTTAAGCTTCTTGAAGCTTGTTGTTATAATTTTCATTCATTGGAAAAAACTCCAAACATTCAGTATGGAGATAATTATTTGTATGGTCTGAGAAAGAACATTTTTTTTTATATTAGGTGGAAAAAATTTAGGGAGATAAATCAACAAATATATGCAAGATAAATCAACTTGATATTGAATGTTATATATACATCAGTTTCTACAACTTGTCGCTTTATTTATAACTACATCTACGTTTATATGCTATTTCTCTATTCATATCTGATTCAGTATGAAAATACACATTTCAAAACTTTGTCTTATTTTCTTTATTTCATATATATATATATATATATCTTTGAAGGTTCATGCATCCATGGGACTGTCTCCTGGAGAGGAAACAATAAAAAGAAGCTCCAAAATAAATATGAAAAGGAAAAAAAACAAAGAAAAGGCAAAAACCAAAGAAGCCAAGAGAAGACGTTTCTTCTTAAAGCAGACAAGAACCTCTAAGACTGCTAGTAAAGAAATAAGGGAAGGCAAAACTTACGAAAGTGAAATAGGTATATATTAGTATTAAAAAGCCACCAATAATGTTTTCTGAAATGTAATATTTAAATAAATCCCCCCCCCCTTTTGCCCTGAACCTAAAATATTTCATTTAGTAAGATTTATTTATACTGTCCCCCCTTTTGCCCTGAACCTAAAATATTTCATTTAGTAAAATTTATTTATACTGTTATTATGAACTTTAAAATTATATTGGGACTTTCCTTATCTATAGATTTTATAATGTTAAAATAACCAATCTTCATATTTCAATATATATGGCTAGATACGATGAGATCTTCAGTTTCTGAAAAAAAATGACCACAACTATGCGAAACCAATACAAATGTTTTATACTATTTTATGTTATAAATAAATATTAAAAGAATGTTGTCTTGTGTGGGGAAAAAATTATGCATGTATGTAAATATTCCAGAGGCACTCCCACTTCTGGTTCTTCTTTGTGATTACTACAGTTTGTGAGAATTTGTTATTTAAACGTATTAAGTTAATCAAAATTGTTGTTTCAAGATTAAATTAGATATAAGGAGACGTGGTATGGGTGCCAATGATAAAAGAGGATTACACATTAGATACTTATTCTATACAGGGATAAAAATTTGTGGTTTACATTATAGTATAATCTGATATGTGAATTATACAAGGTGCACAATGTACATGTTAATCCTTCAATAATTTATGATCAAATTATAGGATTTAAATCTGAAGTTACAGACAAGGAGTCCCAGGAGATTCCTGAAATACAAGACATCACAAAGATCCCATTGAATGAACAAGAGGTTATCAAAGCACCAGTAGTAATTTTTGATTTAGAGACAACTGGCCTCAGTAAGTGTAAAATTAACGTCTAATGTTTTAATCTCAGTTTAATTTTGTTGTGAAAAATGAAAATTGAACTTTGACATGAATAATGTCTGCATGGTAAAAAATAATCAAAAAAATAAGTAAGACGAAGAAGTAAAAAAAAGTCCACAAGTTAAAAAATGAAGTTTAAAAAAAAATGTTTTGCTCACAGTAAACCAACAAACTAGAGGCTCTAAAGAGCCTGTGTCTCTCACCTTGGTCTATGTGCATATTAAACAAAGGACACAGATGGATTCAAGACAAAATTGTGTTTTGGTGATGTTGATGTGTTTGTAGATCTTACTTTACTGAACATTCTTGCTCCTTACTATTATCTCTATATATAATGAACTTGGCCCGGTAGTTACAGTGGAAAATATTTTGTAAAAATTTACAAAAATTTACAAAATTTATGAAAATTGTAAAAAATTGACTATAAAGGGCAATAACTCCTTAAGGGGTCAATTGACAATTTTGGTCATGCTGACTTATTTGTAGATCTAACTTTGCTGTACATTATTGCTGTTTACAGTTTATCTCTATCTATAATAATATTCAAGATAATAACCAAAAGCTGCAAAATTTTCTTAAAATTACCAATTCAGGGGCAGCAACCCAACAACATGTTGCCTGATTGGTCTGAAAATTTCAGGACAGATAGATCTTGGCCTAATGAACAATTTAATCCTCATCAGATTTGCTCTAAATGCTTTGGTTTCAGAGATATGAGCCAAAAACTGCATTTTACCCTATGTACTATTTTTTAGCAATGTCGGCCATCTTGGTTTTCGGGCGGGGTCATCGGACACATTTTTTAAACTAAATACCCTAATGATGATTGTGGACAAGTTTGGTTAAATGTGTCTTAGTAGTTTCAGAAGAGAAGATTTTTGTAAAAGATTACAAAAATTTACGAAAAATGGTTAAAAATTGACAATAAAGGGCAATTACTCCTTAAGGGGTCAACTGACCATTTTGGTCAACTTGACTTATTTGTAGATCTTACTTTGCTGAACATTATTGCTGTTTACAGTTTATCTCTATCTATAATAATATTCAAGATAATAACCAATAACGGCAAAATTTCCTTAAAATTACCAATTCAGGGGCAGCAACCCAACAACGGGTTGTATGATTCATCTGAAAATATCAGGGCAGATAGATCTTGACCTGATAAACAACTTTACTCAGTCAGATTTGCTCTAAATGCTTTGTTTCAGAGATATAAGCCAAAATCTACATTTTACCCCTATGTTCTATTTTTAACCATGGCGGCCATCTTAGTTGGTTGGCCGGGTCACCGGACACATTTTTTAAACTAGATACCCCAATGATGATTGTGGCCAAGTTTGGTAAAATTTGACCCAGTAGTTTAGAGGAGAAGATATTTGTAAAAGTTAACGACGACGGA